AGATTATAGAAATTGACATATTTTTTTAATATAATTATGATTTCTTATATTTATATTTAATTAAATTTTTTATAATCAATCAAAGAGATAAAAATTCATGAATTTAAATATTTTCAATTATGCAATTATTTTCCAAAAAAAAAAAAGAATATATTTTTAAATTAAAAAAAAATTTGATTAAAAAAAAAATTAAATTTTTGATTATTTATTTATTTATTTTAAATAAATAACTTCAAGTCATGTTGAGAAATTTCTTTATTTTTTTTTTATAGTTTTAATTTTTTATTTTAATTTTAATTTTTATTTTCATTGTATATGAAATTGTATATTTCATAAAACATTTGTTATATGAAAACCATCACTTTAAATCATCCTATTTATTTAATTATATGATGGTTGATATAATATCAAAAAAAATTAAAAAATAATAATCAATTATATTAATAAAAATATGTCAATTTCTATAATCTTTTCAATATCGTAGTTGAATTGTTCGTTTATTTTGATGGATTGAATTATGAAAACAGATAAAATTAATTGTTGGGTAAAATTAATTGTTAAACCCCACCACACTAAAAAAATATTTTTACATATAAAAATTACTTTGTAAATAAAGAAATTAGTGTGTGTTTAAAAATAATAAGTGTAAACCAAATTTTGTGAAGCTACAAAAATAGTTTTCACATTTAGTTTTTGAATCAATTATTGAATCAAAATCTATTTTTACCAACTGATATCAACTTTTTTATTGAGTTGATTCAAAAAACTATTTAAATGAAATGAAATTTATTTTTATTACATCAATAAATTAAAAACCTTCAAATAAAAGTAAATTTAATAAAACTATAAAACTATATTAAAAAAATGATCTTCAGTAAGTTAATATTACTTTTACTATAAAATTAATTTTTGAATAAAAAACATTTATTAATAATATTATTTTTTAATTATAGAAAATATTTCAAATATGTTCTCTGCTGTTAATAACAATAATAAATATAATAACAAAAATAATAATTTTATTAATATATCAAAAAACACTGATTATACAATAAATATTATAATGGATCGTGGAAATCCTAAATATACTCTAGTACAACCAAATAATATATAAAAAAAACTGTTGCGGCATTATTTGTTTGGAAGAAACCCATATCTTTTTCAAATAATGGCTTACCAAAACAAAAAAAAACAAACGAATTAAAAATAAATAAAATATTTCATTTTTTTTTAAATAATACAATTTTAATTTATTTTTTATTTTAAAACTATAATAATAAATAAAAAATTTAATGTTAATTAGTGGGAATTATTATAATTTCTTTATTATATTTAATTAATTATTTTTTATCCTATATTCTAAAAAAATTTTAAGGCTCAATATAAAGTTTTTTCAAATTTATTTTTCCCATTTTTTTTTAATGATTTTATAAATAAAACTGTCAAGGCAACTAATGAATATTTAAAATTAAGTAAAACACAAAAAAGTAAACTTGCTCCATGGTATTGTAAATATAAAGAATTTTGTAGAAAAGATATTGAAGCTTATTTTGCAATATATATTTTCCATGGTTTAAAGAATTCAAATTATATTTTTTTATTGACTAACTGAAAATTATTTTTTGTTTTAATGAAATTGTTTTGATTTTGATTTTTTTATTTAATCAATCAAAAAAAATACTCAATAAAAATGTTGAATAACCCAATAAGCTAAAATACAATTTGATTCAAAAATTGAATCAAAAAGTAGGTTAAAATGATAAATAATATTTGGGGTAAAAAAATTATATATTAGATTTTATTAAATTTTATTAAAGGTAAAATGGTTTGATGATGTGTTTAAAACTTTAAAGTTTAAGTAGATGTTTATTTAAAAAGCTAGTACAAGTAAAATTGACAATACAAATATAAGGTAGTTGATGATATGATTTTTAGAAGATTCACCTGTTTGTGCAAACATCTGTAAACCGATTTGTAATTCCTTGCTATCGACTATGGATCCATTGAACATTTTGCACTTTTCATCTTTATTAAAGTTTGTAGATTCAATCGAAACTAGTTTACAATCTGTCTCTTGTTGGTCCACTTTACAATCCTCGGTAAGGCATTCATAGTTTAGAATTTTATCGGCTACACAAACTTGTTTTGTGTAGTTATTGGTGGATAACATTTCACATGTATTATTTAAAAAAGAAAATATATTGTAATTGTTGCAATCGAAATATTTAATTTGGTTGCAATAGCCTTTAACTGGTTTTGGATCTTCTTCTAAATTTAATTCATATTTATATGAGTAACCCCAGTTTTCATCTAATCTGCATTCACCGTTCTCGTACTGTGTAAACTTCAATTTGCTGTATTTGGTATGTCTACATTGGTCAATCGTTGCAATCTTTGCTGATACTATTTTAGTTCCATTCTCCAGTACCCTCCAATAATAGTTGGGTGAACATTTGCTGTATCCATTGATGTATATAGGAGCGGTTTCGCACTTGGGATCTCTATATTCGCTGACTTTAACCTCCAGTGACAAAACATTAATGAAATTAATTAATAAAACTAAAAATAAAATTTTATATTTCATCATGATTTTTTTCCCTAAATATATAAAATAAATAAAAATTAAATTTAGAATCAAAATATAATTTATATCTAATTTGCATATATTAATAAATAAATAAAAAAATATAGATATAAAAAATAAAAATAAAAAAACATAAAGATATGTTATAGGTTATATTAATGTTTAAACACCCACCCCACAAAAAAACACCCGTATTCACACATATAATGAAATAAATTTAAATTTTATTAATAATTAATATTAAATTTGTAAAATGAAATAAATTTTTTATTTTTTATATTTATTAATTTATTTATTTTTTTATTTTTTTATTTATTTATTTATTTATTTAATTAAATACATTGGAAGTGAAAATATGAAAATATTATGGTGTGTGTATCATAATATATTATTATTAAAATCCCCTATTTATTTTTTACCCCACCCCCCAGTTTTATGCATGATTTTAAAATAGAAAAAAAATAGTTTATATAATTATGGTAATGGTTATAGTTATAGATATCAATACAAATATAAAATTTGAAAATAATTTTGAAGAGGTGTTAAATCTTTCAAATGTTTGTGTATTGATAGGTGAGTTTCCTTCTTTATCTTTTTCAACTTCATGACTGTTATTGTTATTACCATTATTATTGTTATTACTAATTTTATCTTTATTGTTATTTTTATTAACATTATTATCAACAGTGTTATTATTATAATTATTATTATTTTTATTGTTATTATTATTATTGGTATTGTTTTTAAGTGTATTATTTATTGTATTATTATTTGGTTGTATTTCATTTATTTTGATTGACTTTTTAAGACAATCATTATCAACATTATTGGGTTCTCTTTTATCCAGATGACAGTTGGTGTCAAAACAATTATCGTTGCATTTATAGGTATAGATAAAATCTTGATCACATGTTTGCTTTATGTGGTAATCGTCATAGATGAAACAAGAGTTGTTTTTGAATGATACTATATTATAATTATTACAATCGAAAAAATTAAATTGATTGCAATAGCCATCGATGGATCTTGGATTGGTGTCTTCGTTTGTTGTCATTATGATACTATATGAGTTGTGATCCTCTTCATCTACAGTGACACATTGATTAATTGGGAAAAAGTCATTGGTGTGTGAGTTGGAATACTGGTCATTACAATGTTGTCTATTGGAATCTATATTAGTATTTGAAATCATAGTGTTGTTTAAAACTTGAAAATAATTATCTGGTGAGCATGTTGTACTTGATAAAGTAATCGATGGAATACCTTCACAATATGGGTTTAAAAAAGTTGTTAATCTAAATTCTTTACAAATTCCATAATTTATTAGGGATATTAAAAATAATAACACCAAATAGAATTTTGGTGATATTATTTTACTATTATTATTATACATGATTCTATTTTTATAAATATAATATATTATATTTATATACTAATTTTAAAATTAACAAAAATTTATTATTGTTATTTATAATATAAGTTAATTTTAAAACATAAATATATATATTTTTATTTGATTTTTTTGATTATTTTTTTTTTTTATAAAAAAATAAATGTTATAATTTTAATGTTTTATTTTATATTGTTTTATTTTAATTTTAAATTTAAAATAAAAATAAAAATATATTTAAATAATAATAGGTGTTATAATTGGAGTTAATATAATTATGATATTTTTAAAATTATAATTATTATAATTATTATTATTATTTTTTGCTTTTTTTTTTTATGTTTTTTTAAAAAAAAATGAAACAAAATAATTGGAATAAGTATTTTTTTATTTTAGTTTAAATTATATTTTTAATTAAATTTATTATTAAATAGTTAAACTATTATTTTTATTATTATTTATATATATTTGTAACTTTACTAAATACTTTTCTTTTTTTTTTTTTTCCTTTTTTAATTTTTTTTTTTTTTTTTTTTTTATTTTTATTTCTTTTGTCTTTTAATAAATATATTTGTTTCTTTAATGTTAGTTGATGTAAATGATAATGAAATTAATAATGATAAGGATAATGATAAAAATAATAAAAATATTTATAATTGATACCACATATAGTGTGTTAAAAAAAAAAAAATTAACATATCTAATAGGCTATATTAATATATATTTGGTGGTGGTTTATTTAAAAT